ATGACGGAAATAAAAGCTACTCTGGCAATGTTGTACCGAAAATATGATATTCAACTGATGGGGCCATTGAAAGAAAGTTACAAGTCGATTAGGATATGTGATGAATTAAAAGTTAAATTGAAAAAAAGGAAAAACTTGTAATTTTGTGATTCAGTGAATTTGTTATATTCATTTTTCTAAAAAAAAATTGTTAAGTTTAGTTGTTCATCGCGAAAAAAAATTTTGTTTATGTAGATTACAAAATAGTAAATTTTATTATTAACTTTTAAATTAATATTCTTATTTGCAAATACTAATAAATAACTAAAGTCAATTTAAATAAAACCTCCCCGTTATTATTATTTCTTTTAAACAAATAACAAAAATCCGAACTAATTTATCAAACAAAAAATTATATAAACTTTATTTATTTAAATTACGAAATGAATGAATGAACTTTCTAGAACCTAAAAATAATATTTTTATTATTGGATCATCCAATTTGGATGTAATGCTAAAAATTTCTACGGATGTAATTCATAGAAATTTAGACACAAATCTATAATGACCTCATATTTCACATATTCCTTTGTATCAACACAAAAAAAAAACCATCAATGATTTAGTCGCTTATAAGTCAGGGACCCTGACTCAGGGTGGAGCAGGTCTCGCTCTGTACTAACAACAACACAGTATATCACTATGAGGAGTACCAAAATCTGATCTAACAGTCAAATAACAATTTTGATTTTTCGTCATACCGTACGTCAAACATCTTTTGATATTTTAACGAAATATGTATTCTCGTTATCATATGCAAGCATTTTTGACAGCAATTTGTGTTCACCAAATTGGTATATGCGTCGAAGTTCTTTATATGTTTATTCTATTAAAAATCGTTTGTCAACAAGACATGGGTTCGTCAAATAATTTTTTAAAAAATTGTACACTATGGATATAATGCCATTATGCATTCAACGACGAATATCAGTCAGTGACAGGTTCCTCTGTGCATATACTGGATGCCCAAAATTTCGCCGAGATTGTCAACAAAATTACGTTTCTCAAGCAATATTGGGAGAATATATTTATCCGGAAATTGACCAAGTATTAGATTCGTTAAGAGGGTTATTACACGACAGCATCAGCTTCGTTCTCGTTGAAAGCCGGTGTGAAGGGCCTCTATCTACATTTTACATTTGAAAAATTCGAATCTACATGCACGATAATATACCTTAAATTTTTGTCCGTGTTACCACACCTCTAAATGCTAATGACGTTAAAGAATCGCATGAACAAGTTGCCATTGTAGAATCATAAGAACAAGTTGGCAATTCTGTTGCTGCTGAAGAATCACATAAACAAGTAGTGGAGGTTGAAAGAACGATAATGATGATGTTTATAATAAACCCAAAATAAGTTATTATCCGTGTTGATTTCCTGAATCAGGTAAAAATTTTTTTTGAAAAAAACTTTAAAGAAATTAATTACAAGATTATTTCATTTCAAACTATTATTTAAAAAAGGTCATCCTAAAATAAGGTTCCTTTTAAAAAAAAAATTACATATATACTTTACATTTGCAATAATTAATATTGTTAGAATTAATCGAGAGATCGTCGATCATGTGAAGATTTGGTAGGTAACTATCATTAAAATTATTTGATTATAGATAATATTATTATATTGTAGGGTACAAATGTGATAATGTATAGAGTCAATAAAAATCAAAGAAAAACTTGAATAGAAATAGTATGGAATTTCGATGTACCAGTTGATGTTATTATTATCCATGGAGGGTAATTAATTTTCTCAATTTTTTTTACCCTTTCTAAATGAATAAAAATTTTTTTATGATTCTTTTTATTATTATTAAATTTATAAAAAATGTTCAGCGCGTATAAATGCCAAGGCAAAAAAGGTATTAAAATTCTTAACAAATTTAGAGGAATAGTGAAGGTATTGAAAGAATCATTCAAATAAACCTCGATTCTTATAATAAAAAAGTTAAGAAAAGTGACAGTAGTGAAACATGATAGAAGTGTGAATGAAATAAACTAGAAATTCATGTTAATAATAGAAGAGAGAGTCAATAATAAAATGAATGAACCAAAAATTTAAATAGTGACGCAGTAAATTTTACTGATTTTTTTTATAAAATTTTATAGGTATTGCTAAAGCGATTGTCGTCACGGGGCAAAATTACCCCCTAACTTTGCTTACGTAAATTTTAATTTTGCCCAGTGGTGACAATCATCACTGGTGATCTGAAGCAATTTCAAATTTTAATATGTATTGATTTTTTTGAAAAATTTACCGGACTTTTTACAAAAAAAAATAGTACAAAATTTGTGGCGCCGTTTAGTATACTTTTTATACAATTAATAATTTTTTGCGCAATTTTATATTTAATAAATATTAATTAAACAAATAATATATTTCTCAAAATTTTTATAAAAATATATATATTTTTAAATAAAATTAAAAAGTTTTATATGGAAGCACTCTAAAATAAAATATCATTTTTTTTTAATAATTTAAGAAGTGTTAATTTAGAGATGTAAAAGGTTTATCGAATTTGATAGGCGAAAAATTTAGTTTATTGAACGAAAATTATTTCTTATTTCCAAAGTTTAATAATTAAATAATTAATAAAGAGAGTTAGTTTAATATAAGAATTTATTAAAAAAGTTATAAAAGCTTAGAAAAAATGGGATAAGATATCAAAAAATATTCAAATATTAAAGATGGAAATAAAATATCTTTTATATGAAATAACAAAGATATCTTTAGTTACTTTAATAGCCTATACCTCATATTATTATTACAAATATTTTACACGCGAGAATCCACTTCCTGGTCCTTTCCCGTTACCATTTATTGGTAACTTTCACCAAATTTTGAAAAATTTTACTTTAGATGCGAACAAATTACTCAAATATGGTGATGTCTGTGAAGTTTATATGGCATCCCACCGTTTTATTTTGTTGAATAATGAAGAACTTATTCAACCGATGATGAAACCTGTCGTTAGTTTTCTAAATAGAGTAAGAGATGATCATGAAGGACTTAAAGATGGTGGTTTATTAAATGTTAGTTTATTGTTTAATAATAATTATAATGAATGGCAATACTATCGTAAATTCTTTAACAAAGTAATGATGTCCCCCTCATTTATTAAACAATCCGTGATATCAGTACAAAATAGTTTTTTTGAAATGGAAAAATATTGGGAGAAACTTGGGGAAGATACAATATTGGAATTAAATCATTGGTCGAAACAATATTTCTTTGATACCATTTTTTTTTCTACCACTAACATACCTACTTATGCATTCGTAAATTATTATAATAAAGTAACTAAAAATAGAAAACTACCTATACCAGAAAGTATTCTTAAAGATAGTAGTGTGTTTCTAAAAACACTAGATATATTCATCTATAGTTTTAGTTATTTCTATTTCGTTCCTAGCTTTATTCGAAATTTTCCTGGAATTAATAGATACACTAAATACTTTAAGGATAACAATGATTGGTTAGAGAATAATATCCTTGACATTATTAAATCAAAACGAGAAGAGATTGAGAAAACTCCAATTGATCAAAAATTGAAGTCTGACATGTTAACGATGTATTTAACGGTGAACACTGAGAGAGATGTTACCGAAAGGAT